TCCCAGGATTTTGGAAGTCGAAAAATTCGAATGCCGAGATCCCGGGATTTTTCGGGATTTCGACTTCATCACAACTTTTGAATTTAGCAGTAGGTTCGCCTTTTTTTAAAACACACAGATTCATCGTCACAATTTTTGGTCTCAAAGGGAGCATAATGCACCTCAGTCAAAGACTCCGTAATTTAGCATCTAAATATTTTTAGAGTATTCTTAAATATCTATATTAATTGTAAAAAACATTTACTAATATTTCAGAAATTCTTTTTCACAAACCGCCATTAAGATAAAATGAGGAACAACTCTTTCACATTGTAAATTCTTGTTAAGTTTTGAATTGCTATCAGATTTGATTGAACAGTTCATGCATAAAAGGTTTAAACAAGTACACTTATTGAGTTAGGTTCTGAAATTCACTTCCGAGGGCAAATGGCTGAAGTTCACTTTGAATCAAAATTTTGGTTTTCTGTATTTCTCGTTTTTCAGGTCAAAGGAATTAATGTTCTTGTTTTCAAGATCCTTTCATTCTGAAAATGAATCAGTAAAACTCTCGGGAACCCGGAGCTGTAATCGCGGGATTTCGGAACATGGAAAAGCGTACGGGATTGAATGCACTAGTACATACATATACTATGTAGACAGTATGTATATACAAGCATACACAGAGCAGTCAAGTTAAGCGATAACAGCTGACCAAGTAAGAGTGTGCCACACAAAATAAAAAAAAGGTTAAATGAATAAAATAATAAATGAAAGCTATTTAAATAAACTCAGATAAATTTAGAAAATTTTCTTACTTTTTAATTTTCTATACGTCAGTAGACAACGATTTTACATCTAGAAGTATGACTATGCTTATCCCGCAGCAATCGTTGACAACATTTTCAGTTTAAATTATCAGGGCAATTCTGGCAATCGTCTTTCAACTCATTACAGTCTTTCGAAAGGCAAAGTTATTTCGTAAGACAATTATCATTACTTTCAAATATCTTGAAAGCTCTTTTCTGTCTTCCAAAAGACTAATTGAAGGATCTGTTAACGAGGACGCCTTAGCGTTAATTTGTTTGACTTTTAGAAATACGCTTTCTAAAAATTAAATTTAATGAAAGACATTAAAACCATAAAAACTTAAGGTTAAAAGAAAACTTAAAAAAAATACATAAAACAAAAAAGATGATAGAGAACTAAATTAAAAGAGAAAACGAAATTCAATTAAAACAAAAAAAAAATATTAAATGAATTTCTAAAATTAAATGAATTCTAAAAATATATATTGTCCAACAACAATAATATCTAAAAGTTAAATACAAAAATAAAAAAATGTTACTAAAAAAATGAAAAAAGTTTCACTGTCCGAGTATTCGAAGCTCGTTTCTCTCGAATGGCGCGCCAGGGCTTTGCTCTCTCGGCCATTGTGACTGTATTTGGTCTGTTCCTATGAACTTCGGACTAAAACCTGTGGAACTCTCAAACTACAATTTTACTCTCTCAAGTGAGAGTAAAAGAAGAACAGATCCAGAAGTGTACGGGAACCGGTGTTGCCAGATTTTTTTCCAAAAATTTAGATTTTCGGAAAAAACTGTAATCTTCAAAAACGACGACAGCTTTTAAAAGAATAAGGGTTGTTTTCTTTTAATTTTGTCAAATATAAATAACAAAAAAAAAACCATTTAAAACCAAATGGCCTAAACTAGGGCTGTGAGATTAATTGATTATTAAAAATTTTAATTAATCATAAAGTAATTAATTGGATTTTATAATTACTCAAAAGTTCAATTACTCGAGTAACCAAGATTTTGATTAACCAAATACAAAAATATATGAGTAATTTGATTTATGATTAATCAACATTATGAGTAAAATGAGTAATCAACATTTCAAAGTACTGTTTACATATAAAGCAGTTAAAGTTCCTTGATACTTTGAAAACAAAATTTCTGTTTTCAAAAATAATTTTTTCATGTACAGAATGTAAAAAAGAAAATAAGCATTTTCCAAAGCAAACTCATTTAGAGAGCCAAATAATTTTTTTTTTTTAGTAATCATATATCAAGTAATTCGATTAACCATCGTTTTGAGTAATCAAAATCTTAATTAATCGAGTAACTGATTAACCGGAAAACTGATTAACCACCTTGGTCGAGCAATCGAATAATTGCACAGTCCTAGCATAAACCGTTCAAATTATACTAAACTTAACAAAAATAAACTTTACTTTATTGAAAATTAGTTCCTTTAGTTTTCGTAAATTGCTTTGTTAATTTTTTTGAGCATTTCATTCGATCCCTCAGATTTAGTACATCCTGAAGCACTTTTTTAAGAAACTTTAGTTCTTAGAATACTAGAGAGTTCTGGGGTTTCAAGTTTATTTATTGTTCTATTCAAATTAATTTGGATACATATGCTTTTGACATTTGCTGTAGTGCTTGGAATGCAAGGGACAGCTGAAAGTATTTGTTTCAAAACAGACAGCGTGCTCCTTCGTCGTCCTCTTTATCTTAAAACTTTACTTCCAAAAAACCGAAAAAGAAATTTTAACTTATTATTTCAAATACGAACATTTAAAAAAAAAACAAGTTAATTTGGAGTTTATCTAAACAACTGTAAGCTAGTCTTAAAACTGTTATCTACAGTTAAAACTGCGAATCTGGCAACATATGTGGGCACGCAAAAAGCACTTTCTCCAAAAAAACCATCAGTCGGTTTGTTTACATGTCATTGGTACAAGAGTGATTTGGCTGAAAGATCTCTAAATAATTATTTAAATCTATACAATTAACAATTATTTTGTACATATTCAAATATTTCGTTGTTTACTTCCTTTTTTTTAAATAGGTTTTGCTTTCACCGCTTTCCGTTTTTGTGGACAAATGCAACCCTGCCCATCATTTGACATTTTTCTTGAATTTGTAGAAAGAAATACTCCGGAATAGATCCTGTAAACTTCTGAAAAGGAAAAGTTGCTCAGTTACTCTATCAGAAGTGTTCCCAGTTACAGGTTTTTTGTTTACACTGTAGTGATCGGACTTAAAAAAAAATGTGTGGTAGATTTAAAAAAAAAGTGGTAGATCTCAGGTTTTGGATCAAAATTTGTACAAAAGTTAAAATTAAATTGCAAACATTTTTATTAGAATCTGAAAAAATTAATTTCAGTATAATAAAGTGCAAGATTGAAGGTGCTAAAAATAGCGTTGAGTTTTGGCAATTTTTTTTTCCTTGACATTGTAAAGTAGTTCCATCCATATCATTTTTCAAACATATATTGAAAGGTTTCTGCAACATTGCGGAGTGCTGCCAGCTTTTCTTTTTATCACATCACGATGTAGCGATCAAATGTGGCACGTTCCAGAAACCCCTACTTGGGATTTGCCGAATTTTTAAAATTCTCAAGTAAAAGTAAACAACGCTTTGGAAACTTTAAATGCACTGAAATTTGCTAATACTTTCACCAAAATCGCAATTTTTTAACATTTTCGCTATTAATTCTTTTTATTAATCATATATTTTGCAATTTAACACAATAAAACCACGTTTCCTGTCGAAAAATTGAATATTGAGAAAGTTTACTATTCTACAGTTTATTTTATCTTCCCATTCAGCCTGTTGTTAGTGTTTAGTGTTGGACAAGTTTTGCTCTTAAATTTATGAAAATTATATCGAGCAAAAATAAAACTACTAAGAAACGCTAATATGTGGTAGATTTCAAACCTTGTGTGGTAGATGCTCAAAAAAGTGGCAGATCTACCTAAAATGTGGTAGAAGTTCGATCACTGGTGTACAGACTAACTGTTTTCTAAAATATTTTTTCACCGTTGACTTGGAATTTTCCATATAGTTATGCATATGTAACGGGTGATTTTTTTGAGGTTAGGATTTTCATGCATTAGTATTTGACAGATCACGTGGGATTTCAGACATGGTGTCAAAGAGAAAGATGCTCAGTATGCTTTGACATTTCATCATGAATAGACTTACTAACGAGCAACGCTTGCAAATCATGGTGAATGGGCCCTAGAAAAGTTGGCAGAAAATCCGCTTTTTTATCGACAAATTTTGTTCAGCGATGAGGCTCATTTCTGGTTGAATGGCTTCGTAAATAAGCAAAATTGCCGCATTTGGAGTGAAGAGCAACCAGAAGCCGTTCAAGAACTGCCCATGCATCCCGAAAAATGCACTGTTTGGTGTGGTTTGTACGCTGGTGGAATCATTGGACCGTATTTTTTCAAAGATGCTGTTGGACGCAACGTTACGGTGAATGGCGATCGCTATCGTTCGATGCTAACAAACTTTTTGTTGCCAAAAATGGAAGAACTGAACTTGGTTGACATGTGGTTTCAACAAGATGGCGCTACATGCCACACAGCTCGCGATTCTATGGCCATTTTGAGGGAAAACTTCGGAGAACAATTCATCTCAAGAAATGGACCGGTAAGTTGGCCACCAAGATCATGCGATTTGACGCCTTTAGACTATTTTTTGTGGGGCTACGTCAAGTCTAAAGTCTACAGAAATAAGCCAGCAACTATTCCAGCTTTGGAAGACAACATTTCCGAAGAAATTCGGGCTATTCCGGCCGAAATGCTCGAAAAAGTTGCCCAAAATTGGACTTTCCGAATGGACCACCTAAGACGCAGCCGCGGTCAACATTTAAATGAAATTATCTTCAAAAAGTAAATGTCATGGACCAATCTAACGTCTCAAATAAAGAACCGATGAGATTTTGCAAATTTTATGCGTTTTTTTTAAAAAAAAAGGTATCAAGCTCTTAAAAAATCACCCGTTATGTATGTATGTATTTTTGATGGCAATAAATTTTAATACCCATTATATACCAGTTACTGATGGATACAAATAGCGATAGCAAGTAATTTATCTTCGAACGTAAACGCCGATAATCTTCATTGCCCTTGGTTTATATGAACGTACTTTATAAAATGACCAATCATTTAGATAAACGTTTTCAAAGTGACAAAAATTGCTAATAAACGCTATAGCTTTAGACCATGAAGGTGTTTATTTTTTGCGTTGCTTTTTTGTTTGCCAATACACAAGCAATACTTCTTCAATATCCTAAAGACTATGTAAAAAGTTCGTACGAGGGTCGTATCATTGGTGGCCAAAACGCACCGGAAGGTTTCGCGCCATATCAAATTTCACTTCAAAGTTCCTCTGGTTATCATAGCTGTGGTGGTGCTATTATTGACAAGGATTGGATATTAACCGCTTCGCACTGTGTTAGCTATAAATCACCAAGTGATTTGATTATTGCAACAGGATCCAATCAATGGGAGAAGCCGAATGCCACATACGCAGTAAAATCAATTCATATGCATTGTCGATACAACACACCGTACTTGCATAATGATATAGCCTTATTGAAATTAAATTCATCGATCGAATTTAATGAAAAAACTCAGCCAATAGCATTGCCAACAGAGCAGATGAAGGAAGGCGATGAGGTAATTTTAACGGGCTGGGGCTCGACAGAGCTGTATGGTGATACTCCGGATGATCTGCAGATGATTTACTTAAAATATTTGCCTCATAAGAAGTGTAAGGCAGCTTTTAACGATTCCTCTGACGTGGATGTTGGACACATGTGTACCTATACGAAGTATGGAGAAGGTGCATGTCACGGTGACTCTGGTGGGCCTCTAGTGAGTGCCGGAAAATTGGTTGGCATTGTTAATTGGGGCTACCCTTGTGGCATTGGCTATCCAGATGCACATGCAAGTCCATATTTCTATGTGGATTTTATTCGACGTGTAATGGCAGAAAATACAAAGTGTGTAACATAATTAAGTAAAATATGCAATTATGCAATTTTTGGTTTAATGCGAAGTAATGTGTATAAAATAAATTATTTAACTTGTGATCGTTTAAAAACGAATACAACATCTTGACGAAGTGTGTTAATCGAATTTATGTACATAGATATTTATATATACATACACATGCAAATTTTTGTTTTTCCCCGTTTCGTACTAAAAACAAAATAAATGACTACGAAGGAATGGCTGCTATCCTTAGTATCAAAAATTCATACATACTTAGTTCAAAAAAAAATATTGTCAGAGCAATTCGGGCAACCGTTTTTCAACTCACCACAGTCTTTCCAAAGGCAAACGTCTTTCGTAAAGAGCCTGTCAGACGTGGCAATGCAATATATTTCGAAAAGGCCGTCAAATTGAGAAATTTCAGAAAGCAGTTGCATGAGCAGTCACACCTTGCATGTAAAGTGTCTTTCGAAAGTGTTTTTGTTTTTCTATTTCTGAAAGGCGAATAGCTAGTATAGCTAGCGTTAGTGGCAATATATTTCCGAAATCGATTTGCGCTCTCTCAATTGCAGTCACATCTTGCAACTCCCATTTCTGAAACTGATTTTCAAAATGCGGCAAAAAGGTCTTTCTGGCTGTTCACATATCGAAATAAAATTTCTCTTTCTCAATTTGACAGCAAATTTTTGTTTAAATTTGCGCATATTAAGATAGGTAACCAGTTTCCTCTCTAAGAAAAAAAAAACTACACACAAAGTGTTTAAAATTGAGTAAATATGAGGACTTAATATTTATTATTTGTAAAAAATATATATTTACTTTCAAAACATTTGTAATTTTAAACATTTAATATGTAAATTTATGTGTATATTTTAAAAAACTCATGTTCAAAATCAAATCTTGAACATCTTGTGCGTATATTTGCACAGATTCTGGTTGAAAAATAAACACTTTTCAGTAGTAGTTTTACATGCACTTTTTAGAGTGTAATTCAAGAATGCAAGGTGAAACTGCGCTCGATAACTCAGGTACATAAAAGGTATCAAAAGAGCAGGTGAATTGGCAGAGGCCGGAGCTTGTTGGGTTCAAACTGTAGGAGTGATACTACACTGGGCCAAAAGTAGCATGGTTTTTGCATCCAAGTAATTTTTTGAATTTTTCATGGTCAATACACCGATTGTAAGAAATGTGATTCAAGTTGAACATTTGAAGGCACATTTGTATGACTGGCTGTAGCGAACGTGCAGCGACGTTTGTTTTTATTTGTTGGCTTCCAGAAGGTTCGTGTTTGAATGAGGTCAGAGGCGAAATGTATTTTTTTTCTTAATTACGAAAAAGCATCTGTGAAGTGCAGAACACGATCAAACGACGCAGAAAATTTATTCAAGTTCAACATTTGAGGGTAAATTTACTGAACGCCTGTAGCTGAGTGTGAAGAGATGTTTGCTGTTATTTGCTAACTTTTAGACGATGATGGTCAGGGCCCACGTGTTAAAATAATAGCATAATAATTTTTGTTTTGTATCTCCGAATTATGGCAAGCATCTATAAAGTGAAGAAGATAATCGTATTCAAACGAAAAAATTGGCAACAAAAAATTTGTTTAATGTAAGCAAAAGTGTGGTTAATATTACGAAATCATTGTTGTAAAATATCAACCTTGGCATTGTCAATGTCAAACAAAAATCACCTTAATTCAATTTCAAGTTTGAATTTGGTAAAAGTAACCAATTTTTTGCAGATTTTTTCACAGTGTACAGAAGACCCTCTCAAGATACTCATATAATTAGTATTTACAGGTTTTTAAATATTCAAGTAAAAACTTAGGTATTTAGGAGTTGCTGGATACCCAATTGAAAAAATGTCGGTATTTACGAAATACTCAAGTAAAAAAAGTTCGGTATTTGGGAGCTGTTACAAAAAATGAAATTATTTAGCAGGCGCTTAAAAGCCTTGTTCAAAGTACTCAGGTACTAAAGTAAGGGTATGCAGTAGATGACTAAATACATAGAAACTAAATACTTTATAATTTTGGAAAAATGTGAACAATTAACACCTTACCTTGCACTCACCTAATTTCACCTCACCTCAAATCAACACACTCGCTTAAACCCACCACATCTGATCCTACCGAGCCTAAATTAACCACACTTTAATTCACCACAACTGAATTCATTACACCCGTTCTCATCACACATCACCTAAACTCACCACACCTCAAATATCCTCACCTAAATTTGGGAACTTTATAGGGAATTTAGAGATTTTCGGGATTCTCGGAACTAAATCAGCATTTTCAGCACTACTACATCGGGATTCCTGGGACTATTTCATGATTTTCGGAACTACTGTGCACCCGCGAAAACTCGAACACACGATAATTTGAACATGTGGAAGCTTGAACGTTTCATTTTACCTTGACCACTGTAACTCTCTGCGATAGAGAAGGAAAACTATCTTAATTATCAATAGTCTTAACTATTGATCTGTACCGATAGTATTGATGGACAATATCGATATATCGATACTATCGGCCATATTTAAAACGTAAGAAAATCATATTTTTAATAAACGATTGAGTTTTATCAAAATAATTGTACAATAGCCTGTGCATTTTCATTTATTTTTTTCAAAATTTTTTTGCAAAAAAAAATAGTTTGTCAACAGTTTTGGATTTAAGTCCAACTAGGCGAGTAGTTTTGCCTTAGCAATGGTGCTCGATTTGAAATATTTTACCCGATGTTTTGACGCGTCCCCACGAGCAGCAGCTTACTTACTAGACTAACATCACAGCCGATAGTGTCGATAGTTTTAAAACATAGATAATATTTTAAAATAGAAACCATCGATATATCGATAGTATCGTCGATATTTTTCCACCTCTACTCTGTGACGGATGTGGTATTCTGGCAGACGCATATTTTTCGTCATATTACTAGTTTATTTATATGACTAATTCATTGGCAGTATTTAAAATATTGATAGAATTTCCAGTTTATATCGAGAAAGAGTTTATTAATTAATATCTAACACATATATTTTGATAAGTAATATTGGTGTCTGAGAGACTATACGCCAGTAAATTTGGGTAAATTTTAGTTACGACAGTAGCAGAGGGTTAAAACTCGAACAATATATGATTGCTCGGGGAAACGGCTTCAATCTTGATCGACTTCGATTTAAATCGCCTTCTACGACAGAGCTTCTCACATGAAATAGGCTATCAATATTTCACGAAACTTACCTTCAACGAAATGAGCGGCTTTACATACATACATACACACATTTGCAGTAGGTATGTACTTGCTTCAATTGTTTTATCGTAAAAATTGTTTTCATTGAAGTATTAACAAATCTAAATAACAAACAATACTTTCATATTACAATACTTACTAAGCAGATTTCCGCTTACACAATACGTTAGTTTTGGGCCGAGCTTTTCCTCCGATTTATGCCGTGCGCCTTGATGTTATCATACAAAGGGGAGGGACTTATATTAACTGTTTTTCACAGCAGAAATACACTCGGGAGTTTGTCATTGCCTGCCGAGCTAGAGAAATTTGCAAGCTTCGCTCTGCTCGGAACGGCTTCCTGTGTGAACGTACCCTTACGCATTTACTGTTTTCATTTTAATAACTCCCGTACTTAACCTCAAAACAAAACTAGTAGTCTCGGTTATTATATTATATTTGTATTACAATATTTAGTCCCCTTTCAGAAACGTCAAGTCTTGCTTTCAAGTCTGCTCGTTCGTTGGCGAAGGAGGTGGGAAGAGAGGGGAAGAGTACAGATACCTCCGTACCGTCAATTCGTTTCAAGTTTTCTTGTTCTCTTTTGATCTTTTCGTTGCTTCCCATTTAAAGATCCAAGGACTTGAATTCAATAAAACTTGACGCGTGTGGAAGCAAAGAGAAAACACAAAAGAGAATGCGATAAAAATTGCTTTCAAGACTTGACGTGTCTGAAAGGGGACTTACATAGTTATGTACATACATATGCACAACAACAAATCTCAATTTTTGTCTTTTAACATTACTAGCTAGAAAGGGTAATTACTCTCTTCGCAGTGACAGTTCTTGCATGTTCCTGACGTTACACGCCGTATCCAATCTCTATAAAAATAAACACTCGCATATGCATCTGGGCTGCCCAGCGCACAAGGCATTCCCCAGTTGACCAATCCAACCAGTTCACCATCGCTAGTCAACGGACCACCAGAGTCCCCATTGCATGAACCCTCACCTTCCTTCGTTAATGTGCAAACATGGCCAACGTCCACCATCTCATCGCCATCATACTCGTCTAAGCAACGCCTGTGACTGATAGCACGTAGTGTTACTTTCTGTAATATTTCCGGAATTGGACCATTGGCAACAGTCCTTCCCCAACCGGTAAGTATAGTCTCTGCACCATCCTCTAATGGCTTCGTGGCAAGCGGTATGGCCTGTGTGTATTCATCGAAACGAATTGTGTCGTTGACATGTATGAGTGCTATGTCATTGTGATAATTCGGATTGTTGTAGTTGCAGTGTGTGTAATACTCGTCAGGGAAGTAAATGTCGCGAGGTTGCCGCCATTCTACTGTACCGGTAATAACACGCAAGTAGGGCGGATTGTAACCGTAGACGCAATGTGCTGCTGTTAGTACCCATTGCTTGTCGATGACGACGCCACCACACATAAGATCGCCAAACATACTCTGCAAAGACGCCTGATACGGAGCGAATCCGAGGTCAGCATTTTCACCGCCAACTACGCGCCCTTCAGG